CTGGCACATTATAAGTTCTTAATAATATGTGCAGAATCAATAATTAAAACATTTACTGAATATTATTAATAAGAGGCCAGTGATTATTGGTGTTGTTTGACCATGTAAGCATAAAGATGAACATAGCTTGGAGGAGAGAGTCTCTAACATGTTAGACCCTGCTTCTGGGTCAACTGAGGGGGTGCCTAGAAATGCCAACAAGTGCCAGAGGATAATCACTGGTAGAATGGATGTTGTCCCAATGAAGAATAATAGCCAAACAGCCAAGTCAATGAAAATGGATAAAACTATTAATAATTAGATGAGTATATCCTCTTCTGGTGAAAGAACAGAAGAAGGGGGCTATAAGCTTCGTAAGAACAAGGCCCCTTGTCCTCTTATTTTTTGTGTCTCCAGCCAAAAGCTTAACCTAATATTCATAAACTTCAACAAATATTTGTGAATGCATACATAAATTAATCACTGCCTACTTAATATAATTCTCATGAGATACAGAACAGAACTGTAGAAACTATTCAAAGAAAAAAGGCAAGATTATTCTACAGCTTACTTAGTAGCTAGAATAAACTATCAGGACTGTGGTTAATTAGTCAAAGAATCAGGGACTTTTCAGTGCAAGAACAAGGTGTCTGTCAGTGTCTAGACTTTTGGAATTCTTAATAAAAGGATAAATGCCCTTGACCAGACTATGACTAACTCAACCAGGGAGCTCTTTCTCTAGAAACAATGAATTCATTAGCACTTAGGGCCTTCAGATAAGCATGTGCAAATCCTAATCCCAGGAACAGCAGGTAGATCCTCAAAATCCTATTCACTTTCGCCAGATTTCAGTGTTCACAATGCAGCAAGGAGTAAATGTGGGCAAGGCTAAAACCAATTTTGAAAAATAAATAAAAACTTTTATATTCTAATGGCTTTTAAAAATTACTTGGAAGGCTTTTATACTATATTACTTTATTTGGTTAATTTGTTACAGGATTATGATTTTGTAAATATGTCATGGCCAATGTTCTGCCATTCAGCTGACATCCTTGATGCATATAAAATGCAAACTCCTTAGCTTGGCATAAAAGCCCTGTGTGGTATATTATTAAATTAATGGCTTTTCCAGAATCATCTCAAATCCTCTTCATATGCATTTAATGCTCCAACCGTGTTAAATTTCTCTTTCAGATCTTGGTGAATTTGCATATGCCATTTCCACTGCCTATGAATTTGTTCCAAACCTGAGAAGCCCTATTCATTTATTGAGATCCAACTCCAGTGTTTTTCCTTCATTACCAAATCTCAAGAGTTAATTATTTCCTTCTCTCTGTATCTGAATATATCCCTATTCTTAAAAATCATATATCCCATTGTTTTATAGCTATTTACTTACTTTTGACCTCCTGGACTAGACTGTCAGCTCCAAATGGCAGAATTCAAGTCTTCTTTTGTCTACCTCACCCTGGTTCAACAAAGGGTTATTGGCTGGACAAAATCACCCATGCATATGTACTTAGGGAGGTGTTACCAAAATAATATACCACCTATAATTGCTCCAAACAATTGACATTTAATAAAACAACTTGTAAACAAATTGATCATGCTATAAACTTGTTCCCCCAATTTTTTTTTCTACATTTAGTTATGATGGACATTTACTCTGGCATGTGAGGACCTAGCAAGAATAAAAGCTCTTATCCCTGTAATTATATCTATGTAGTCTGCCATGAGAAATGATTTTTCTAGTCTAAAAGCCAAGCTGAAAATGCCATGTTTTTGGTGATTTCATTAACATTTTAAGATGTTAACAATTCTGTCTGCACAAACTGAAAATGACTGTGTGAGGAATGAAAGCTTGCATAACTCTGACACCCCGCTATTCATGGCTCATTATCTTCCTGACTTTCATTATGCAGTGAGGAAGTAGGGTCAGCCTTATAAAATTTAGGAACAATTAAGAAAATTACTGTATGCAGATGTGACTTATGGACTGAGAATAACTTTCTAAAAGACTGCATTAAACAAAATAAATAAAGATGATGAAAAATCCACAGATGTTTTATGGCTTAAGGCAACTTTTCAGTTATTCATTATAAAGACTCCTTTCAGGGCTTTGCCTACTTCCCTTGACCCTTTCCTGAACACTTTCAAACTTTCTCTATGCCTGTAACCCTCAGGAGTTTCAGGAGTCCTAGGTATATTTGTGGGTATAGTAGCTGCTGCCTGTAATCCCAACACTTTGGGAGGTTATAGCAGGAGGATAGCTTGAATCCAGGAGTTTGAGACCAGCATGGGAAACATACCGAGACACTGTGTCTATAAAAAAAATAAGAAATATTAGCCAAGTGTGGTGTTGTACAGCTGTAGTCCCAGCTATTAGGGAGGCTGATGAAGGAGGATTGCTTGAGCCCAGAAATTTGAGGCTATAGTGAGCTATAATCCTGCCACTGTACTCTAATCTGGAAGACAGAGCAAGACCCTGCAAATAATAATAATAATAGTAATAATAATAATGATAAGTCCTAGGCATATTTTCTGAAGTTCTTTGGGTTCATTTCCAACTTATCCATAGGGATGAAAATATTTTCATTGACCGTTACACACTGTGAATTACTACTGGGCTCCAAACCTCACACTCTTCTTTTACAACCTTCCAAGTTTATGGAATAAACAGCCATGAGGGCAGAGGCTATCTACTAACTTAACATCCCACCGAAAAAAAAAAAAAAAAAAGAAAAGAGAAAAAGGAAGAGGAAGGAAAGGAAAATAAGATGCAAACCAGTCAGTAAGTATCTAGGAAATTTTAAGTTTAAAAAACTAGCATGTTTTTAATTTAGATAATATTTATCTACCAACCAGCCATTTTCTTCTATAGCAGCAGATGATGGAGGATGTAAATATAATAGAAAGTTGCCTTTCTTTCTTGCTATGTCAATTTCAATAAATATCCATTAAGTGTTTGCTATATGCTAGTCATTGGACTAGGCTGAATAATAGTGTTTCCGCTTAATAGAATTTATATTCTAGCTCAGAAGTCAGACAAATAGGCAAATAATGATGATGGAATGGGCTAAGTACCACCATAGAATTTTATGTACAAAATGTCATGGGACCCTTGCGGAAGGAGGCACATAATTTTAATATAAATTAAACTTTCAGGAGCCAGAAAGACCAGTTTGATCTTGATAAAATGAGACCCTAAAGTACATACAACCGAAGTCAACAAATATTCCTCCCTGTAGTTTCTAAACGTTTTTAGGATCCAAACAGAATCATTTTTCTTATGCCCTCCATTTTACATGAGACAGAAAGATGCTAAATAACTCAATGTAGTTTTCATAAGTGGTTTTTCCTGTCTGCTGTTTATGACTGTCCTTACAAAATAATGACTATTTGAAATTATAAATCAAAGCTTTGCTTAAATATTTGTTGTGAAGGAGACTGTTTCCTATCTGAGATAAAATCCTGAGCCTCAATTGCATGGTAGTTCACAAATAGTGGATTAAATCTGGATAGTGGCTGTGAAATAAAATATGTGTAGACTTTAATCTTGTGGAAATTCAGATACAATATGGGAAAATTGAAAAGTTCAAATGATAGAACATCTAATTTTATTAATAAATTTCTAATAAATAAATTTGAATTATTAACATTCTTTAAGGAATTTATAGGCTGCTCTTGGTCTTTAACTCTGTCCATCTATATGACATTTAGCACGTTGCCTTTTACATAGTAGGTGTTCAATCCATATATGTAGAATTAAATGTTAAATGTAAAATTCTTAGGATCCCCTGAACTTTTATCAAATATTCATGTCTTTTTTTTTAAATGTAAGACACTATGAGGTTGCCTTGTATTCCTTAATATAGTCAGACATCATTGTTCCAAGAGGATTAAAAATGGGGCCTCGTCTACAGGTAAACCTTCATCTTTGTGATGGCAATAATCCTCTAACCCTCTCTGACTTAAGGTGGGCCTTTTCCAGAAGAAAATTTAAACCCCTATAAAATATCTGTTAATGATATTTCCCTTTTCCAAGGATCATGAAAACCATTTCCATATGATGGGTTATTCTTTATTTTTAATGGGCATTTTCATACTACCTTCTGAATCAGATTGAAGTACTGAATCAGAAAGGTATTTAATTAAAAATATACATATATAATTACTTATATAGAAAATAAAACATGTAAATATATATAATAATAATACTCTTGTGAAACTCTTAGGTCTACTCACCTATTGTATCTATCCGTCCATTGGTCCCTCTATTTTCTATCTGTCTGTTCATAATAATTCAAAGGGTAATAGGGTCTACTGTTATATCCATTTTACATATAGGAAATTAAGGCTCAAAGAAGTTAAGGATCTTGATTAAGTCACACAAGTAGTAAGTGGCAGAGCTGAACACCAAGCTCAGAGAGTCTGGCTCCAGAGTCTATGCCTTTAACCACTACTCTAGCCTACTGCCTTTAGCTTCAAGTCCTGGGAGGAGAAAGAAAAGTTCGTTTCTTGCTTGACTATTTTTTTCTCTGTATAGATTTAGAGAGATTTGTTTAAGTCTATTGATATGGAAAGCAGTAGGCCAGAAAAGAAATATTTTTGTGCATCTATTATGAGCCAAATATGGTATTAGATACTTTTTGTATATAATTTCATGGTATCTTTATTATACTACATCAAGCTATTAAATATCACTCTATTTTACTAATTAGAAAATAGAGCTTAGAGCTTTTAAATAACTTTCCAGGAACACAACAGGTAGTGAGGGGCTAAGTCAAGATTTAAAAGCAGAATTGAGTGCTCTGCCTATCCATGCACTTAAAAGGCTATAGATCAAATTATAGATAACAGATCATGAGATACTAGCTTTATGTAACCAGAAATCCTTTAAGAACTAGTATTAGAGTTTAAAGCTACTCAGAGTTAAGATTTCTGCAAGGGAATAGATATGGAAAGTTTACTACCTGCCACAGCCCTATGAATGGGGACATAACCCAGGCTTTGTATCCTACCTTGACAAATATTGTCCTGAAGTGAGATTTGTAGTTTCTACCTCCATGCAATTCATCGTGCTGGGAATGAGAGCAAGTTCTGGCTGGATCATGGTGGCTGTGGCGACAGCTCTTGCGACCAGCTCCATAGCATCTTGTACGTAGTATTCAAAGACAGACTGCGTTGTTTTTCCATGAGCAATGAGCCCTAAGGGCAGACCTTCTGTCCTTAGTTCCTCCACATTCTGGGAATCTCCCAGCACCCAACGAAGTTCAAGGGGTGTTACCCCAAACTGAGTAGTAATTTCGAAAATCCGCCGGATACTTTCCATGTTGCAGCCGAACATCACCATTGTGGGTGTGCTGTTTTTCAAACTCTCAAGCTGGACCTGCAGGAAGCTCAAGAGGTCCTCGGTGGAGGAGAGGTTAGCAGTGATGTTGATGATAGACCCGAGGTGGAACTTGGCATTGTTCTGGGTAAGAAGGAGGAAGTCGGTGATGTTCCAGTCTTCCTGGCACAGCAACAAGCTAAAATTGTACCAGTTGTTCATGGTCAGGATTGAGACAGTGACATCAGCATCAGAACTTAATGAATTTTCTAAACTCAGTTGTAGGTGAAGGGGATTCTGTATTTAAAGATATGAAAAAGAAGAATTAGAAAGCACTGGCCAAAGACAATATATAACATAGGATATATATTTGCTTTCTTATAAGGCTTAATCCTTTATTTTTCCCTGTGATATTGAAATACCTCTGGGATAACATTTACATACTTTGGAAAATTATGCTTCCTGTCTAATGGAACTATTAATTCCCTACAGTTGATTTCCTAATAATTTTGCTAAGAGTACCAGAGGACACATGGTTCTTGGTGTAAGTATCAGGGGTGACACAGTCATACATTTGGTCAGGTTTGTCTACTTCCTGATAGACAATTTCCTTTATGGATCCATTTCTTAGTATCGCTTTTAACAACTCACTTGTTAAACTTTCCTCTCAGGTGAAATAATTAAAAGAAATTTCTTTTGCTTTATTTAAAAATTAGTAGCAGGCCGGGCGCTGTGGCTCACGCCTGTAATCCTAGCTCTTGGGAGGCCGAGGCGGGCGGATTGCTCAAGGTCAGGAGTTCAAAACCAGCCTGAGCAAGAGCGAGACCCTGTCTCTACTATAAATAGAAAGAAATTAATTGGCCAACTGATATATATATAAAAAATTAGCTGGGCATGGTGGCGCATGCCTGTAGTCCCAGCTACTCGGGAGGCTGAGGCAGGAGGATCACTCGAGCCCAGGAGTTTGAGGTTGCTGTGAGCTAGGCTGACGCCACGGCACTCACTCTAGCCTGGACAACAAAGTGAGACTCTGTCTCAAAAAAAAAAAAAAAAAAAATTAGTAGCAGAGAAATCTTAACACAGTGTAGGTGCTTGTGTAAGGGTGGTGTGGAAGATGGCAGCATCCTAGTTTCCTAAACTTCTGACCTCAGGAGGAAGGTACTATTAATATATAGAGAATAATTAGCAATCTGTACATCAAAATTAAGTGTAAAGTCCAATGTTAAAGGCTTGATTACATTCTGTGTCTGCTGAGCCTGGATTCTTGCTGTGAAAAGTGAAATGTGTGCCACTTAACATTTATGTTAACTTCCATCACAATTTCATCAACTTACGGAACTCAACAGAGGAAGAGTTTCTTATTTGAAAAGTTGCAAATTATTAATAATATAGGTGAAATGGAAATACTCTTTCAATGAATAAATTTTTTAATTGTTGTTCCCAAGGGCAGACATTTGGCATATTTATCATTTAATACTGGTATCCTGAGAATGTTTAGCACAATACCTCACATATGTTAGGTACACAATAAATATTGATGAAATTGAACTCAATATATTTTTATTGGGAACTACTGGGCTATTTTTGAGAGCCTGCCAAAATTCAAATCAATAATATGCATTGAGAAATGAAGAGGGCTTTCTTGGTAAAAATTTCAAGCCCTTGTATTAAATGAAAAAAGTGTGGCCTGTCACTACCTACCAAAAAAATTTGTAACAAGAAATAGGATTTGAGCTGAATTTTGAACTCTTTGAAGAATTGAAAGGATTTTGATATGTGTAGAATTAAAAAAAAAAAAGGATTCTAAGGAGGTCTGCAGGAGGAAAACTGTGACTGCAGGTTGGAAATGAGAGCACTCTGGGTAATAGGTAGGATGGAGTCTTAAAATTTATTCTGAGAATTTGTCTTTTGTTCTTCCAAATTCAGCTTTTGAGCAAGGCTTGTAATGATAAAAACAGAGCTTTGGAAGAGTCACTTATGGGAAGCATTCAACAGGGAGGGGGAGAAAAGCCTTCCAGGATCCTGATTAGATTAGATGCTCGGTGTTTGAACTGGAAGCTAGTGTTGATAATGATAGGGAGGATGATGAGAAAAGTTTTGTTAAATTAAAAAGAATTGAGTGATAAGATGTGAGAGGCAAAAGAGAGAAAGATGTCAAAACCCAGGAGATAGTCTCCTGTAGTAGCTTTTGGTTTCTAGGGTTGAGATACCAGGCAGGACCTTGAGGTGAGAGGAATGGAAGCTTCACGTCCTCACTCCTCCTTTTGATTTATATAAATTGTTCCAGAGAGTTCTTTCTGTCGTCCTCTTTCAGCTTTCTTCCTTCCTTTCTTTTCTTTTTCTTTTTTTTTAATTTCCTCCTCTGTCTTAACCCTCTTCTAGAAGCAAAGAGCAATGGAAGGCAAGCTCTATATTTAGCTGGCAGGAACAAATTATTCCCAACTGTTTTCTTGGCTTCAGCTCCCTATTCTGTTGCCAGTTTTCTTTCTAAAACACAAATATAACAATATTATTCTCATGCACCATAATCTCTAAGTCACCCATAGGACAAATTTCAAAATCAATAGTATGGCTTAGGAGGCAGGGATGAGATTGTTCTCCCATGGCTTAATAAGAAGTTAAATTAGCTAATCATAGTGAGCATTTAGCACCAGACAGAGAAACAAATGTGTTTGGTGTGAGAGAGACAGGAGAGTGAAGTGAAGACCCCTCCCCCCCACCAATGGGCAATGATTAATTCATCTAATTACATTCATCCCTATGAACAATCCCGCTGAGAAATTCCAGATGTTGAAGTTAATCTTTTCACTGCCTTAAGAGACACAATTCTTCAAATACTTATTAAATAATAGTTTAGAAGCATCTAATGATATATTATTTATTCAGTGGCCCTAGATGCAGTGTCTTCCAGTTTCTCCCTTTATAATGGCAGAGGCACACTCACAACTATATAAAGTCTTCTAACACTAAAATTTATGCCTGATGGTAAAACTTTTGTTAAAATCTGAGGCAAAAATTAGACTTACTGAGCATCAAAATATGTGTCTTACATATGATTTGCTGTTTGCAAAAGAGCAGACCCATGGCCTGAAAGAAGATATAAAGATTTAAAAAATAATTTCCACATTGTTTGTCTCTTAAATCAGATCTAATGACAGAAAACTCAAGAAGCAGGAAGCCTCTGTCTACTATGCAGATAGAGTGAAATTTGTCTTTTGTTCTTTGGAATTCAGCTTTTGAGCAAGGCTTGTAATGCTGAAAACAGAGCTTTGGAAGGGTCACTTTTGGGAAACATTCAGCAGGGAGGGGGAGAAAAGCCTTCCGGGATCATGGTTGGGTGCTCAGTGTTTGAACTGGAAGCTACTGTTGGTAATAGTAGGGAGGGCGATGGGAAAAGATTTTTTAAAATTAAAAAGAATTTAGTGATAAAATATGAGAGGCAAAAGAGAGAAAGATGTCAAAACCCAGGAGATAATATCCTAAAGGTAGCTTCTGGCTTCTCATAAGTATATTCAATTTATATATTTTAAAACCAACAGGTTCAGAAGAAGAAGGTAGAGGGAGAGAAAATATGAATTTAAATAGGACTGACAATTATCACTCCTCTAAATGAGTGTATTATTTATTAATATGTTGTATATTATATATGTTATATACTATAATATTTACATATTATTATACATATTGTATACACAAAGTGATATATGTTAAACCAAACAGGTAATTTAGAAGATTTCCAAATGTAATTTTCCTACACTTTGAATCGAATCTTCATTTCTATTGAAGATGACATTCTACTCCACTATATTGATTTTTGGGGTTTTATTTCATCATCATTTGCTTCTACACTACTTTAGAGGCTGAAATTCCCAAAAGCAGAGGGCATGAAGTCTGGACGGGGAATGTCCACACTGCCATGCACTCACGGAGTGAAATCCTGAGGCAAGTGCAGAGCTAGAGAGGGAGATCAGTCACCAGCAATTTGGTTCAAAGTGTCAGAGGATCATTGGTGTGGGGGAAGATTGGTTAACCTGCTGTGGGTCAGAGTGTATTTATAACTACTAAAATATTAAAGTTTCACATAAAGAAAAACAGGCAAGAATGCCAAAAAAATTGGAAAAAAAAAAGTGCTAGGCCTTGCTTTAGAGGATATTAGATCACGTTAAAAATGTAGTTTTTATAAAGCAATAATAATTAAAATAGGGAAGTACTAACAAGATAAATAAATAGAACAAAAGTATTAATATACATTAAAAATCAGAAAAAAATGGAAAAAAATATGAGATTAGGATTTGAGAAGATTATTTACAAAAATAAGAGCTAAATTTCTAATTATATCATATATTAAGAAAAATTCCAGACCATCTAAGAATTAAAAATGTATCAAATCCTTAAAAGATCAAATAGGTAAATACAATGATAAAAAGAAATTACAATGATGAAAAGATTAAGCTAAATATCACAACACACCTTATTTCTAGCTTTGAATACCTATCATAAATAAAAAAGGAACATGAAAAACAAGAGAATATGTGCAACAAATTTGGCAGGCAAAGAGTTAATGTTCCCAAAATAGAAAGAATATTTACTAGTCAATAAGGAAATAGAATTCTTCACTGAACAGTCTCATTCAATCTAGAAAAATAATTTTAATCTCCTACTGTGAGCCATGTCTTCTACAAGGTATTTCTTGTTGCCTACATAATGGGTGAGAGATAGACAATATGTAAGTAACTGGACAAATAAACACTTCATATACCTATAAATTATAAAAATTACTGTAATTGAAACCAATAAGGTGTGGCAAGACTAGGAGAGGGAGGAGAGCATCCTAGGAAATATTCATTTAGTAATTATTATTAGTAGGACTAGGCAAGTGCAAGTATTTGTACAGTACAAGCACTCTCGAATTGGGTCTTTAGAAAAAATGAGATATATTTGAAACAATTGATCACCACATAGGTAAACAGATGTAATGATTCATAAAAGCATACACATTTAACTAAAAATGTGGTCTCATTTGACCATTCATTCTTCTTTTACCAGGTACCATCTGTCTAGTCGCAGATGAATGCTTGGAGCCACCACTTGCTTCTGTATTCCCTCTGTTTGATTCTGCATTGTCCTTTTCAGTAGTGTCTATGATGTTTTTACTTAAGTCCCAAGCTGTGCTTGCTGATGGGGCTACTGTCTTCTTCAGTAAGCAGAAGCAGTATAGTGGTTAGGACTTAGTGGTCAGGGCAATATATGCTTAAAGTCTGGTTCCATCATTGATGAGCCGTGTGCCCTTCTACAAG